ACAACCTTTTTCGAATTTCTAAATTAACCGTTCGCGAGCATAGAAGTGACTTCTTTTTATTAAAGGCGACACGACCCTGCGCTATCCTCTGCTTTATATCCCTACTACTCCTTCCGTCCTGACTTATCTGACTTCCTAGATACGTTAAATCCGCCACTTCTTCCAATTTTTCGTCTCCTATCTTTATATTCCCTTTTTCCTACTTTTTTTTCCCTGAATACCAGTATTTTTGTTTTACTTTTATTTATTTTCATACAATACTGTTTTGTTAATACCGCTTCCATTTTATTTAAAGCTATCTCTAACTCCTCCTTGATAGATGCTAATACTGCTATATCATCTGCAAATCTAAGCATACTAATTTTTTGCCCTTGCACATCTATCCCTACAGTTGTACTGTCTTTAATGATGTTGATCGCGTCTTCGATGTATAGATTGTATAGATTAAAAAGTAGCGGTGACAGTGTGCATCCCTGTCTGACTCCCTTCCTAATATTTTTACTTCTCTACGTTGCAGCCCTAGCTCTATAACTGCCTGTTGCTCTTTATACAAACTAAATATCACTCTTCTATTTTTGTAACTCATCTCTACATTTTTCAGTATATTTAACATCTTGTCCCATTTTACATAGTCAAAAACTTTTTCTAAATCTACAAATCCTATGTACGCACTCTTTCTTTTTCTATCGTTTTCTCTGTTGTTAAAGCTAGAATGGCCTCCCACATTCCTCTATTTCTTCTAAACTCAAATTAATCTTCCCCTAATTGTTCTTTCACCCTTTTCTCCATCCTCCTCTGTACAATTCTAGTTAAGATTTTTGACGCATGGGAAATTAAACTAATTGCTCTAAATGTCTCGCACCTATCCGCGCCTCTCCTTTTAGGTATGGTTAGTACCACGTTCCGTTTATAATCCCCTGGGACTTTCCCCGTCTCGTAAATGTGACTAACTAGCTTAAACATACGATCGCTAACCTCTTGTCCTGCATGTTTTAGAATTTCCCCCTGTATCCCTTCTACACGTGGCGCCTTATTATTCTCTAAGTTTTTTAATGCTACATCGAACTCTTCTCTAATTATGGGATAACCTTCTTCATCTATCGCCACACTATCTTCTTTCTCTAATATATCTCCTAACTCGTCTGCATATAGGTTCTCTATATGTTTTCTCATCATTTTCTATCAAAATGACCCCTCTCTCGTTTCTTATATTATTAGTACTGTTCCCTACATCTCTAAAATTCTTTGTAGAAGAAATATTGAGGGATATTATCAGGATCAGAATTAATCTAGTATCACAGTTTTTAAAAGTATTCCTTAGGGATTCAACAGTGAACTGACTAGAGCCTAAAGAATTGCCGTTTTGAGGTATAAGGGTGAACAAATCAGAGTTAGATAAGCTCTGCTAAGATTTTTTAAAAACACTAGAAAAGTACTCTAAATGGGACGATTTCAAAAAACCACAAAAAAATCGTAAAACCTTTTTTTGTAAAATTTAAAGATGAAAACGTAATCTACACGAATGAATATATTGGATATATGCACAAATGTTAATTTTTTTAAAATAATGTCCAAGAGGTACCTAGTCTCTGTTTTGTCGCACACTTTCTTACAGTCTTGTTGCAAAGCTGCCAATAACATTGCGCGCTCCCTCCCAAAATTCTAATCAGGTATTGGTAAGTGAAAGTAACCAAATGTTTTATTTATTTATCTGCACTCAGTAAAAAGTCCTACAGTTTTGAAAAATTGGCGTCTCTTTTGCCTCTTGGGTTAGAATCAGAGACATGATTTATTTGAAATACTTACATTTAAAATTAAATACAAAATAAAAAATACCTATTTTTATCTTGCATTTAAATACTTTTTTGAGAAAAACATTTTGTATTTTATTTAAAATACTTCTCCGAAAGTATTTTCTATTTGTAAAATGCAAAATACATTTTTGCCATTAAAAGTTTTGCTAGTATCACCGATCAAACATTA